AACAGACTGACAACACTTACATATGAAGCATGTATCTTTCAACTGATAACGTATACCAAAGGTTGAGTTTCATATCAGAATGTAAAAAGTAAAATCACAAAAATACTGAACTCCCAGCAAAATTCAAAAAGGAAAGTCCCTAATCAAATGGCAATATCAAAAGCTCAAACAAATCAAACGAATGGATAACAGCTGTCATATTCCTGGCTTGGTACAGGCATTTTCTTATGTAGAAAATGGTGGATTAAACCTGGTTTAAAAGCTAGTAAAACCTCTCACTTGTATGACAGTCGCATCAAATTCAATTATATTGACAACGATGTGTAATCGATAGCGGATATTTTATTTCACGGGTTTCAATGGTAATTGTTAAGTTGTCCATATATACTATATTTGAAGCACCATACTGTGTTTGACCGTATTAAAATTCCTGTATTACAGTTGTTGTAGCCATACATCCGTTCTTCTCTCCTTATTCATGATGTGACTTATATACTATAGGAGTAAGAAGACGTATGTCACATGTGCAGCAGGATTTGGTTGTATCTAATATTTTGCATGGCATTATTTGTTCGTTTCCTACTTATGAGTTTGAATATTTCTTTGGTATCCCCCGTTTCTCTTTTGTGTACTCTAATCAACTTTTTACCCAATTTATACCTGTGGACTATGAATCGATTTACCGTTTTTCGATTTATTACATTTTATGAACGGGTTCGTCCTCCTCAACATTGCATCATGAAATTTACCATCCATAATACCATTTGTTGATATACCTATTGTTGTTTGTATAAAAGATTCAATTTTCACCAACAGTAATATTTTCAAGAACTTTGTTTTATTTTTCCTGTCAGACAATTATCAAGAAATAACATCAAACTGGTTGAAAAGGGTGTGTTTCGAGGACTTTACGAATTGGAAGAATTGTGAGTTGCATTTTTCAATATAAAAAGACGGATATATACTTTTTGAATTTAACTAATGACTTAATATATCATGATTCAATTTGCAGGATTCAGAAATAGAGTGTTCTGTGTGTATTTATATTGTCTATGAATTTGTATAACAGTTGGGCTTTGATAAATTTCCTGATTATGTTTATCATCATGATTATTTTCCTAATTTATAATCATCTTTTGTGTTTGTATTATATTTTAAATCAAATCTTAACTTCCAAGGTTAAGAGGTGCCAAACTTTAAAGTTTGCTACAGAAACTATTGGATTCCCATACTGATATAGTTCTTTAGTACAATTCGTGAAAGATAAGTGGTTCATGCATTGGCAGTTAACTTTTAAACATATATGCACAGTATAAAGCTTATCATTTCCGTAGAATATTTTGAAATCAAAAAGGAGCTTCTTTCCTTGTTCATTGACTGTGAATTTGTAATAAAGAAAAACACAAAGTATTTAGGTACTAAAACTACATATTTATGTGTTTATATTTCTATAAAAAAGGGAACCCTAACTAACTTACTGAGTGTAAACAAATTCGTAACTAAAGTTTGAAATGATAGGTATCAAACCACAGGCACTTGTCTCTGAAAAAATAATTACCTAATATATACTTTAATTTAACACAAGGTACTTAACTCGGATATTTAAGAAATGTCACCCGGTCACGAACTCCCGTTATATTTTGATTTTGAATTGTCTATCCCACTGAAACTTGTTATCCCGTAAATCTACAAAATAGTGTATTACGTGCCTATTTCTATTATCGGAATCATTCGTATTAGGCCTTCAAAGTATGGCAACCTTTACCATTTCGTCTTCTCACAGCCTTTCAAAAATATTAATCTCGCAGTAAATGGTTAATTAAAATTGTCCCTTTGGTATCTTTTCCGTCTCTTACACATATCTCGGTTTCCGATTGGTCAAATCTTATTGCTAAAATAAATCTTTTTTGGAGTTATCTCAACTTCATATGTAAAGTCCGGCGAGAGTCTAAATGACATTGTTGGAATTGGAACATATGAGTTTAAAAATAAAAAACCGTAACTCATAAGGCATACTTTAAATAACACTAATTAGATTTTTTTCAAGTTATCTTTTACAAATTTACTATCTGGATTATAAGTTATATTCAGAGAAAAACGAACGGGTTGTTGGGAACACAGATCTCAGTTTCCGATTAGTCAAATCTTATTGCTAAAAATAAATCTTTTTTGGAGTTATTTCAATTTCATATGTAAAGTCCGGAGAGAGTCTGAATGACATTGATGGAATTGAAACATATGAGTTTAAAATAGAAAACCGTAACTCATTAGGCATACTTTAAATAACACTTATTAGATTTTTTCAAGTTATCTTTCACAAATATACTATCTGGATGATAAGTTATATTCAGAGAAAAACAAACGGGTTGTTGGGAACCTGTTCGGAATATATTCCAAATTAAAAGGCAATTTGATTTCTATAATTAGAAATATGAATTCTTTGTTTAAAGTGATGCGCCAAACTGTAAAACTGTAGCCTAGTCACTTTATGACCAGTTTGTCAGAATTTTTTTAATTTTCAGATGGGTTTTTCATACGCCAAAGTTACCGCTGATTAACTCTTAACACATCTTTTATATTGCATTTCGTTTCAACTTTTGTGCAAGATTCTAAACTCAATATCTTATGGACAAATTAAAAAGGCCCCTTTAAAATTAATTAAACGTTATCACTTAATCTCAAATGCATTCAGAGAATCAAAATAAAAAAGAAACGGCGGTTATTTCTACGAAAATGTTATGATCTATCAAGGCAAACAAAATTATCACTAGAATAATAATACGGTTAAATAAGCAATCGTTAGTTTATTTATCAAAATTTATGCTTGAATTATTATTGATATTTATCAATTCTTATCTGCAGATGGATTGCCTTCAATTTTTTGAATGATATATCTGGTTTGTTCGAGGATTTGAAGGAACTGAAAAGCTTGTAAGTTTGAAATTAATGAATATATAATGTACTGACAGGGCAATTTTGATCAAATTGATTGTAAAAACTGATGCTTGCGTAGATATTGTCCAACCTGAAAAGTCTGGCTAAGAATATAAAAACAATATTTGGTATTTCTAAAAATAACAATATTTTAGTAAGTTTTGTCATACCTGAACAAACACCCCATCTAGTCACGTTATATCAGATTCGTTTAGACTTCTCAAGAGAGTTCAATAGCTGTTTTACCAGTTCTAAACAACACATGACATATTTCCAGAAAAATTACATAACAAAAAATAACTCAGCTAGAAACGAAATATCTGAGCAAATAATTGTGTATCGATCTGATGAGTTAAGCCCTTCTCATCGGATTTTAATTGTTTGTTCTTATTTTGTACAGTTACACCACTATCACAGTCTAGGGGGGATTTGGCGCAAACAAAATAGTTTATCGCCGTTACGTTATGTGCGTGCCTGTCCTTAGTCAGGAGCCTGTAGTTTGTTGCTGTATATCACACTGTTTTTTGTTTATTGTTTTGTGCATAAATCAGGCCGTTAGTTTTGTTTTTACATTTTACATTTCGGGACCCTTTATAGCTGACTATGCGGTATGGGTTTTGGTCATTGTTGAAGTTCATACGGTGACCAATAGTTGTAAACCTCTGTGTCTTTTAGTCTCTGGTGGAGGGTTTTCTCAATCACACCACATCTCCTAATTTTTATATTAAAATCCAAAAACAACTAAAATTCTCTATATGATATTTTTTTACCATCTTATTTTTAGATCAAAATAAAGTGTCATTCCAGTCAAAATTCATTTTCTAAAGTCAAAAATATTTCTTGTCCCTTACATATATCTTATAAACTTGCCTTTTTGGAGCACATGATATTAACCCTAGTTTTTGGTGGAGTACATGTTGGTCAGTATATAGTTTTCTGTGTAGGGTTTTCTGATAATTGTTGTCGTCTATCGTTATGCTGGCACGTTGTTGTCAGTTCTCTTTGACTTATTAGTTTGAAATTTCTCCTTGGTATCCTTTGAAAAATGTTTACTTAACGCAGAGCTTAAAATTTGAGACATTGTTTTGATCGTTCAGTTTTCAATTGCAAGATGTTGTTTTTATGTTTTGTTCATGTTGATTGGTTGCTGTCCCATTGAATTGTCAGGAAAATTTCAAATTCGACAATTGCAAGTAACGTTATTTATTCTATACATAACAAGTACAGTGAGTACTGCAATAATATTACTTGTAAAAAGTATAACAAAAATATTGAACTCCAAGGAAAATTAAAAAAGAGGAGGTCAATAAAAATTCACAAAATCGAACATTGGACATGGTAAAACAAAGGAACGAATGGAACTGTATTATTCCTGACTTGGTACATGCATTTTTCGAAGAAATTAGTGGATTTAACTTGGTTTAATAGCTAACTTAACCACCCACTTGTATTACAGTTGTTTATAGCTTCGTTGTATTGATAAAACTGAGTGAGTTTGTGTTTGAAACCATCAGAGAATATCAGCTTTCAGCCTATAGTAGTCAATTTGGGGTAAAAAAAAAACATTCATCAGTTGTTGACAAAAAGTGTATTGAGGTTGCTATCCTGTCCTGTAGTGTCCTGGTCTTCTTATGAAAAACTATATATTTACTGCATTTTAATTATTATATTGGTTTTTTTTCATATTATAAGAAACCTGAGACACAATCTGATAAAATCGATAGATATAAAGATCTTCAAAAAACTAACAAAATTAGAGTATTTGTAAGTATATACATTTTTAACTAATTCCTGAAATAGCAGTTACATTGCAGATGTCATTATCAAGAAATAAAAGTGTTCATTTCCATGACTCTTATTAAATATTAGTGCATGTTTGTTTCATTACAACGCTTTCTTCTATACTATGAAGTTTCATAAAACATTATATCCTAGAACGGAATGTTGGTATGCACTACTTTTTTATTCAAAGGTCAAAACATAGGATTGCGCGACATATTTTCAACATTTACATGCCCCGAACTTCTAAAAGTTTAAACTTATACTAAATTCTGTACTACCCCTACCTTCACTTTGAGAATTCCTCAGAATTAAATTTTCACTGTAACCATGTGTTTTTATACTGGAAACATTCCCAAGTGATTTTCTATGAGATGAAACATAGAGATCATATCTAGGAACCAGTACGTAAACAAAACAAAATATCTATGAATATTATATATCTCCCAAAAGAAGCGTGGCTTGTGAAACAGCTGTATTTACAAAGTGCAACCTAAAGCCGATTTGTAAATACATTTATTGAGAAAAGGAATAACGATTTGTAAATAAATTTATTGAAAAAAGGAATAATCATGTCGATGAAATTGAGACAGGGATGGATTAGAACACAAATATGTAACTAATGTCCATAAATAGAAATAACTCGGTTTTTACTCTCAATTGATTAAATGACGTTTGATGTCATGTGCTGAGGTTTAAAGTCTTATACAGGACTTAATGTTATATGATCCTGGAACTTCATTTGAACTATATCAATATACTGAGAGTAATTTGAATGACGTTTTGTTGTTGTTTTATAATTGAAAACATGAAATACAATTTTTGTTAGAACCTAGTAGTTATCATTATCACTCACTTTTTACATTTCTGTTAATCAAATAATTGAGGGAAATATGATGTTTTAACGACCGATCTCCATGCATTGGAATATTTCTTATATCTTTTACATGGAGTTCCGCTTCAGATACGAGATTTTCCACTCGATAGAATAAAGTTAAAACAAATGTAAAAACAAATCAGTTTTCATGTTACCCAATATGAAAAAGAACATTATCATAACTGTTAATAATCCTTAAAACTCAGAATTGTAAGAAAAAATATCATTTACATAATGGTGCATACAGTAAAAATATATTTTCTTTGTAGGGATCTTTCGGAAAATCGGCTCATATGTAACTGTGCGCTTATAAGCCTGAAAGATTTATATATTGTTATAAACCATGGTGATGGTATTATGTGTACTGAAACGACAGGAGAAGATCTTGGGAATGTTCCGGATTATAATCTGTGTACAAACAAAGGTAAAGTTTTGTTTACCCCTTTTTATTGACTTTAATTTTGTTTTCAAATGATACATCAAGTTTTGCGTCGCAACTGTGACTTATTTGACTAAGACAGAATATCTTTGTCTCGAATTACAACAGCCATTCGCGCTGGCATCGGTATCATTTATTTAAAATAATACCACTTGTGTTCCAGACCTGTCTTTTCACAGGGTAACATCTGACAAGTAGCCTATGCTTTGGTGTTTTAAATATGTAGACTGACTTTGACTTGAATGATCAGTTTATAATATATTTACTAATTCATTGAGAGTGAAATTTCTATAGCAGAAGTAACTCTAATTGTTTTTCTAATTACTTTTTTGCTTTTTTTGAAACATGTTATGCATTTGATCTCTAAACACTTAATCTAGAATATAGAGAATGAAGAGTTAATACGGAAATTCGTTTCGTCAACATTATAAAACCTGGTATCATATGCTATGTTCTATTTGTTGTCGTCAAAATAAGGATCCATTTCCTAGTTCCTAACCAGAGTTTTGCATGTCAAATATCAAACACAAAGTTTTGCTTTAATTTAACAATAACTGGTGCCATTCTCAAACGCGCTTTAATTGCAGCTCAACCTACACGTTTATTAATTACTTTGAACGTTTTTTTAATTTTGTTTTGGAAAATGATATTGGAAAGGTGATTTTGATTCTTTTCTTATTTTTTATTGACCTCTATGTAAAATCATTTCTTATTACCTAACTGCTACCAGACGATGTCAAAGACAGTAAACAAAGTGTTTTTGTAAACATCATTCGCCTACTGCTATAAAAATTCCCGAACAATATCGAAGATAAACATAACTACTTTATAATGGTTTTGCCAAAAAATCTTACATCATTTTTAATTGATAATATTGTGTTAAATACAATTATATAATTGTCAATCAAATTATACGACTACTCTATAACAAGACTACTTTGTTACGAACATTAACCAACCTATATCTGATGAAATACATAATTGATACTATAACATGTATAATCATTTTTGATATATCTGGAATGTCATAACTGTATATTGTAGGAGGAGTTTTAGTTTGAGAACTCTGAAATGAGATACCGTAATTTTACGCACATACACACTGCTTTTAACATAACATGGGCTTATATGACCGACAGCCATCTTATCAAACAGTTACATTGACGGTATCAATTGTATTGCAAAGGATGCGTAATTCGACAATAAATGTTCCTTCAGTGATGCTCCAGGCCCAAGTATATGAAAATCCAAACCTAAAACGAACGTTGAAGGGCTGATCAAACCCAAAATGACCTTAAGTAAAGCCAAATTTTGAAAATCAATCAGAGCTTTGCAATGGGAAGGGTTATTCTTTAGTTTAGAATTATATCAGTCTTATAGTAGCAAAATTCAATCAAACTAGAGCCGTATTTTCATAGTATCACACTTAACAAAATTCCTATTCATATCACATCATATTTTTTTTTAATTTTATTTATCATTTTTTCTTTTTTTTACCTTTATTATAGGTGATTACTGCAGGCGAGAAAATGTCACAATTATCAATGGTCATTCTATCGATTCTGTTTATGGTGTCAGCGTCATTAGATGTGCATTCATATGTGATGCTAAACAAGTGTGTAATGCGTTTCAACACTTTAATTATCTGCAACAGGTCTGCAATCTGTGGAGCATCGAGGATAAAACTTCATGGTTAACGAATGTTACTCGATATGTAGATATTTTCGAACGATGCTAATACTTTTATTTCAGCTTTCTTTAGCTTTGCTCTATCTTTGACTATTTGTGATTACATTTTATATACAATGATGAATACCATATGTCCTACTATACATTTTAATTGTTAAATAAAGGCAACAGTAGTATACCGGTGTTCAAAAGACATAAATCGATTTAGAGAAAACAAATCCGAGTTACAAACCAAAATCGAGGAAAACACATGAACTATAAGAGGAAAACAAAGGTACAACAGGGACACCGAAGTGCAACAAAAACAAATGCCAACACACATAGAAACGAACTATTTGATAACAACTGCCATATTCCTGACTTTGTGCAGGACATTTTAAGAAAAATTGTGGGTTGAACCTGGTTTCATGGCATGCCAAACCTCTCGACTTGATGACAATGTTAAAAAATATCGCTAAAACACTACGTGACAGAAATACAGCACAAACTCACGAAAGAACATTCATAACAGAGAAACGCACAAACAAATAATATAATAGTTGACACAACATACAAACCACAGAACAACAACGAACATATTCTTCATCAACGAAAACACCACAGGATATCAAAAACAGTGACGCGCTTACGTAACTAACATGCAATCTGGAACTTTATACAATTATTTGAACAATATTGGTCCAAATAATTTTCATGACAATAGTGGTATTGAAAGGCAATTTTATAATTTTATAATTATTTCGACTACAAACGATAAAACATAACAGAATATTCAACCTAAACCATAACAGAAACAACCAAATAAATTCGTTAATGTTGGATGTACAAAACAATGAGACACGCCGCACAGCAATTATAATTCACATTCAGTATAACAGTCATATTCGTGAATATGACAATGATGGTATTGTTGTGCAATTTTATAATTATTTGGACAACAAACGATACGACATAACACATTATTCAACCGAAACCATAACAAAAACATCAAAAAATAAAAACATGAATTTTGGATATACAAAATACCGACACACGTCGTATAGCAATGTAAATTCAGTCTCGGTATAACAGTTAAATCGACTTATTAAAAGAGAGGCGAAAGATACTAAAGAGGTAATTAAACTCATAAGTCGGAAACAAAGTGATATTGCCATGATAAAAATAAAGATAAACGACGAAAAGACAAACAACAGTACACAAAACACAGCATAGCCAACAGAAGACTGAGCAACACGAAACCGGGGATGATCTCAGGTGCTCCGGAAGGGTTCGCAGAACCCCTGCCACCACATGTCACATCCACATTGTAAAAAACGTTGATAAGCTTACCTAGTAATAAGGCATCACACAATAGCGGATTGTTAATAGACTTATCTCACCATTAGACATCACAACTTTAGTCAACCATCGGTCATGTAAATTTTCTAATCCTGAAACTTAACCGAGTGTGAAATTTAGAAATTAGAACGTTTAATTACAAAGGATTGACAAGACTTATGAATTGAATATCCTTTTGTGATCTTTTGCTGCTCTTTTCTTTGAGATGCATCGAAAAATTATACAAATACAGAAATGTAGGACAAGAACTGATCAAGAATGTATAGTGTTGGTCACGGAAATAAATCATGAAAGTAATGAACCTAGAATCTAAACTAATAATTAGAATGTTTTGAAAAGCTTCAATGATAAGGTTGGATGAGTCTTTGATGATAAATAAGACAAGAGACAACATAGTTTATGCCATGAAAAATGCCCTCTTTAATTTTCAATTAGTAATGTTGAAGGCTTTGATGTCTAAAAAAATCAATTATAGTTTTTTTAATGTGATGTCAATTAAATATTTTCATATCTGAAGACAATTTATTATTGTCAGAGACCATATCATATTGGATAAATAAATTATTCAGAATCGTTAAAGAAGATATCATAGGAAAACAATGGAAATGTAGGACAACAATTTGATCTTTAAAGTAAATATTTTTTTCGAAATGAATCTATTATGTTTATGATTGTGTTTAAGAACATGATATAAATTAAATAACAAATAGAACTAGAATTGTTATTAATATTTTTGATTTTGGGTCCAGTTTCCAAGTTGGTCAATATTAGGGTCCAGCGTTTAACTTTGTTTGACTTCGACAAATATTGAATTGGTTCTTTGATATGCTGAAACTTACCATGTATTAAGATGTTTGATTTTGGGGCCTGTTATCAAATTTGTCCAAAGGGTTAAAAATTAAACTTTGTTAGAAGTTACATAAACAAAAATTAGTTAAAATAAAATGCTCTGATGGGCG